AGCCGTCTCTCTCGCAGTTCCCGTTGAAATCGCCGATGGCAGCGGCCCAGCTGGCGGATGCGCCGGGTGTGTGAGTGCGGCCGGGAAAAACAGAACGACACACACAAAATTTCAAGTACGGCTTGGGTCTGGAACACGAGCATTTGACCCGGACATGTATCCCGTATCAGGGTCGTCTCATCAAGTCTGCTTGCCAAAAGCGGTTCCGCTACGGGCGGACAGAGCAAGGCGTTGTGAGTACATCATGCCGCTCTGCTTCCCTATCTCTCTCTCTCTCCAAGAGCCCGGTCCGGGTAGTTTCGTCTCGGTCTTTGCGAGTTCAAGGCTGCCGTCGGGGGTTCACCCTGGTGTGTTTGCCCAGCTGCTGGCGTGTTGTTTGTGATGGCTAAATACAAAGTTTTGTTGGGCCTGGCCAAGTGGCAAACGTCTTCCAGCTTTCATATGGGCAAATCAGCATCATGGTATACCTTTTTCGCCGTGTAGAAAAAGCACCGAGGATGGGGCCGACGCGTAGTGGTGGAGAGTGAAGTGTGCAGAGAGAAACATAACTTCCATGCTATCTTGTGCCGTTCGTAAGACTGATGTATCTGCCAATGCGTTCATGTCGCGGGTATACTAGCAGCCACCCGACCGACCAGACACACGCAGCAGTCGCCGTCATGTCTTTGTCATTTTGTCAGACACACCCGACCGGCCGGTCGAGTGGACACGGCTGGACCAAACGAGGCGGCGGTGGCGTTGGTCAAGCGAGTGGAATGTTACCTGGGCAGGTTTGACACACAGGCTGCCTGCTTTCCGTATATCGACCTAGGAAAACTGGTCGGTATAAGAACGAGTTTAGCCCTGTTATAGGGGGGGTCTATATCCCCAAGCGGCTCAGCTCCTCCGTCTTGGGACGCGAGTTGTATCCGGTCGGTCGACACACCCCTCGAGTGTGGGGTAAGGGTTTCCCTTTTTTTTTGGTTTGTGTATGGGGCTTAAATGGGCAAAATTATTGTTCTATAGCCTTATATGTGCTGGAAGGTATTATCGGACGCCGAGGGGCCGCTGCGGGCGGCCGGATTTTGTGACGACGACCAACGACGCACGCATACACACACAGTGCATGATTCGGACAAGGCGAAGGCATAAAGTATCGGAGCTGTGAAGAAAATGTGGTTTTCTGTCATCGGACCGCGCGGGGCGGACAAAATGGGGTTTTTCCACCACCTACGGAGAAAGGATTTTTGTCAAACACCTTGTCTACGCAAGACGCCGGCTGCGTAAGTGGCGTTTTTTCAGAGAGAGCAAGAAAGAGCAAGAAAGGGACACACGGCGCTCGGCATTCTTGTCTTGAGGGAGCCGAAGTCAAGTCAAGTGTCATGATCGATACCGAGGTAAGGGAGGTAAAAAGAATAAGGACATGGATACCTATGGAACTTTGCGGCCCAAGGGAGGAAGAGAGGGACACACACATACCATGACCATGACCATGACCATGACGCGCGAGGTTCGGACGGGGACTGGGTTAGCGGAGGTCGCTGGCCCGCCGTCCCGGCCGGGCATGAAGACTGGGACGGCAGGGACGATGGGATGGTGGCGTGGCGATCTTGTGTCCGGAGGTAAGTGGGAGGCGTGTGTGGCGTGGTGAGCCTGGCTGGCCTGGCTGTGGCTGGTTGGGTGGTAATGTTTGGTACGGCTGCGGGGATACGAGACTGAAAACGTGTTTTGGACTTTGATCGGGGACGGTTGGGGTCGGGATTGGATGGCGAGCGGTTCAGTCTTTTTCTGTGGGTTTCTCTATGGGGTGAGTGTAAAGCATTGTGGCGAGACAAGGACGTGAGTGAGTGAGCTCTGGGATGGATGGCTTGGGGTTAAGGTATTGTGGCTTGTCGTATGGATTGTCCGTCCTTCAGACCGACTCGCGGTAAATTCCGTCGTCCGTCGTTTGTGGTTGAGCATTGAGCTAGGCACGCTCTGGGCCATCCATGGTAGGTCTTCGACCGCCTAGGCGGTGGGTTACCAACGACGACGACTCGTCTGGAGGAGGTTTGATATCATGGGAATACGAGGCTCCTGGCCTATCTGGATGTCTTCGACTATCTTAGCATTTGGGTCCGGTTACTGGCCCATATGGATGTGGTCAAGTAGAGTCATGGGATGCTGCTCTTATACTAGACATTCACTTTTTTTTCTCAGCTTTTTGTATAATCATGTGGGTCGCGTTTCCGTCGTGAGACTAATCTTGACATCAGAGAAAAGAGGAATGGACTTAGACCTTGTCGCTGTATCCAGCCGGTATACATTAGAGGGCTTGTCGGTGTCCTGGCGTATGTAGAGTTCAGTTCCCCCTGCGATATCCAGCCATATGTACTTGTTCTTCGTCACACACACACACACAGGGGGCTTGATGTTGCTCGCATAGATAGATGTCTGGAGTAGCAGTCGCAATCAATCAGCTAACCAACTCTCAGCCAAGAGGCGCCAGAGAGTGCTCACGAGAGTGAGTGCTGCTGACCTCCACCTTTCCCCCTTTTTTTGCTTCAGATGACATCCATACTTGCCAAAATCCCAAGTAGCACGCACCAGAAAGCTCAGTGTATCTCTGATAGCATTACGTAGCAATCCATCCCACTAGTAGACAGACAGGTGGTCTGTTTATCTAGGTCAAGGGACAGGTAGACCAGAGACGATTTTATAGTCGGTGGTCGGGGGTGTGATGTGCCAACTTGTCTACCTCGGTAGCCTCGCAACTTTCTCTTTGTAGAATATACAATACAACTACTCATATTCGTTGGGTATGTTGGGACTTCATAAGCTCTTCCTTCCTTAAAATAATGAGCGGGGTAGGTTTAGCCTGGTCGATAGCTACGTGGTTCGATGACCGTGACTTGTGCTGGCTTCCCCTGTCCTTGGCCATTGCCGTTTACTCATGTCCCCTCTGCTGATTATGTACCATACAGACTACCTAGTTCCGTCTGTGAGGAAGACGGAGATACTTCCCAGAACCCGTCGCTTCTCGGAAGTGGTGAGTGTGATTGATGAGTCGATTTAGTATGGGCCTTGTCCCGGCCACCACGGTAGGTAGCCGGGCGCCGAGGCGATGATCTGCCATGAAGCGCATCAATCAATCGAGTATGCAAGCAGACCAATTTTTTTATTCCGTTTCAAATTATGACCCGGAGTTTGAGGTTGGGGGACTTTGCTGGTGCTGGGGCGGGAAGGCAATCAGGGTTCTGCGGTGTGGTGTGACGTTGGTTTGTTTACTTCAGGGGTAAATGGTAAATGGTAAATGGTGCACGCGTCGATGTGACGACCAAAATATTGCCCTATTCACCCCCACCCATCAATCTCAGTTTAGAATCGCACTGAAATGTTTATCGAGATATACAGGCATATAATTTATCTACCAATGCCAACTGCACCGAGACTCTAGGCGTTTATTTACCGAGTCCCATTCATCGACAACCATCACCCACCCACACCACCATCACCATACTCCCAAATAGGTAAGTGAAATAACGTCAAAAATAAAACAAACTCTCAATAGATAGCTCTAGAAACCGTCGCTGAAACAGGTATATCTCCTTCGCCTCTAAAAGCGGTCTCAAGGGAACATTCTCGATCCCCCCAACGCGGGGGGACCAATCATAAGCTTATGCAAAAGAAAAGCCATACCCGACACCGACACAAAAATGCTCCCATAAATCTCTATCATGGTGATTCTCACTTTAATTTGTGACGGTCATGGTGATGGGTTCGTGTGCTCGTGGCGAGGTACCTAGTCAAGACGCACGCAGGGATGGAGTTTGCCCTCCCTCTCTAGTCTCTTACCTGGCTGCCGCCCCCCCCCTCCCCATCCCCCTTACGAGTACACCCCCAGAATGTGGTTATTTCTGTTTTTTATCAAAGAGATATATCATAATGAACATGCAAGACATAAAATGAGACAAACCGTGCTGCAGTAAGACTCCGATTCGGGGGCAAAAGGTACCTATGTATTCCCCCCTCTCTTTTCGGTCCCTCCTCCCGGATCTTGATATGCAGCTAGGTTTTTGACCTCCCATCTCAACCCCCTTTCTCATTCCAGACGCAGACCCATCCCCCCCCACAGAAACAAAAAGTTCCCAATGCAAGCAAGGTAACTCAAGCCCGCCCGCACCTCAAGCTCATCCGGAATTCTATCCAAGGAGAAGCAGCAGAGACGACCCTTAAAGTCAAATCAACCTCATCTCTTACGTTAAAGACCAGTAAAAATCGCAACACCAGTTCCCCATACCTACCTACAAGGGCATGCTCCTACAAGAGGTACAGTATATCTCCTCAAATACCAACAGATCATCCAATTCTTTCCAGGAAAGATCTCCAAAAAAAAAAAAAAAAAAAAAAAAGACGAAAAGAAATAAAAGACGCCACTTAGTCTATTTACCTTAGAGGTCAGGGTGTTCGAAGTCAGGGGGACTGGGCGCTAGATAACATTATATCGAACCCAGTAGGATCGACTGGGGACCCCTTGAGTTGATCATTCCACACCGCTGCGGCTCTGATGAAAGAAGGCCGAGTGATTTGTGAAACTGGCGTGATGTGCACTAACTACACCGTTCAATCTTTTGGGGCTGTTACCAGAATACTCGGGTTGTGTTTCCTGATTTCCTGTTGTGTAGCGGTATTTGGGGAAAAAAAGGAGACGGTAGGGGTAGCGGAGCGGGTTACTTTGTATCTTCCGACCTCGATATGCTTTCTGGCTTAGTTTCTCCCTCTCTCCTTTGTTTTTTTTTTTTTTTTTTTTTGGTCTTGGGAGGTGTAGAGTTAAACAAGGTACCTGAACTCGTTTCCCTGATATTCTTGAACCAAACCGAAAAAAAGGAGAGCTTTATTATCGTAGATCGCTCTACCGTGTTTGACCCCGTCAGCTTCTCAGGAAGGTTGGACACTTCCCTCCCGTCTTTGTGTTCATTCTGAGACCAAAAATAAATCACCACCACTCCCCCAATTCCTGGGAAGAGGGATACTGAGTATGTTGATCGAGCCCAGGATCGAACTGGGGACCTTCAGTGGAGCACTCGTCCTTGGCTTCTGGAGTCAAGTAAACTTGTGAGACTGACGTGATAACCACTACACCACTCGACCATTTGTGCTTGTAGTGTTGAGGTGTATTTCACAACTATATTTCCTGCGCACATGGTCAAGGGAAGAGGCGAGCGATATGGGCACGACGCAAATTTGATCTGCCAAGTTAGCGTATTTTGCTTCTGGAGCGGGTTCCCGCTTTTCTGGTGGAGCTCCGTCGTAAAATTTGCTGACAATTCATTTCACTAGCAAGTGGACCGGCCTTTTATTATTGTTGCGATGATGTATCTGTTGCGATTTGGTGTTGTTTTTCTCAGTTCTGGCGACTGTGAATGCCTCGCAGCCCCCGGCCTCGGTGTCTCTAATTCCAGTAGAACCAACGTATCTTTTCGAGAATTGGGCGTTGAAGGAAACAATGATGGACCCGATATGAGAGAGGGCATGAGAGAACATGGCTCGCATGGGTAGTTGTTGAAAAAGCTTCCTTGCGTTTGTGGGCAGTTAGTTCGGGCAGATGCCATAAGTTCCCAAAGTTCGCCTTGGGCGGTACAGGTTGTTTGCATCCAACCCGCGCTGCCCGTCATATGGTGTCCGATATTCATAGCCAGGGAAACACATAGCGCCGGCGAAACATATGTGTACAGCGAAAAGAGCTCGATTCGAACAACAGCGGAAACAGAGAATACGTAATACCTGTATCGGGGTTCCAACATCGAAAGAGGTGTTCAACAGAGATGTATCTTAATCTAGATATCGATGAGTGACACCACTGAGAGACTGTCTTCATCAAACCCACATTTACACTGCCCCGTCCTATTACCCAATCACCGACAAGAAAACGATCAGAAGTCCTACACCAAACACAACTCAATACACCTTCAGATATATATACTACCAAAGAATTATACACACACAAGAAATAACTTTTGTCTTCCCTCGTCCCATATACACGCACTCGCACACATATTCGTCTCAAGATCCCAAGCCACCAGTCCCAAATACACACATCGAACGAAAGTAAAACCGAACACGAAATAAATAATTGTAACGGTGTGCGTGGATAAACATCCACAGAAGAGATAAAAAGAATCCTGCGCCAGAGAAAAACTCAGGGTATCAAAGCGCCGGTGATGACCATCTCCCAAAGAAAAATCCCACCATGAAAATGCTGTCGACAATAGAAAAAAAACGCCCATTGTATGCATCCGTTACCGTCCATCCCGAGGTATCCTTATGTTCAGGAGAGAATTTGTGACAAGGAGGGTCAAAGTAGCCACAGAGCCACGGCCACCACCACGGCTATCCACACCGGTAATAATGGCCTCCCCCTCAAAGAAGCAGCCGATATCTCGGCCGCCAGCTTCTCCCCGACAAACCCCGGCCCGCACACCTGATTGATCTGCGCGGCCGCCGGTTCATACGTCTTGGCGATGGCTTGTTTGCGATTCGCACTGGCCGTCTGGAAGACCGCCATCGTCTGCTGTAAACACGGGTTACAGCTCGGCATGGCGCTCCCCGGCAGCGGCGTGTTGAGGGCGAGATAATAAATATACATGTTGGCTGGGTTGGTCAGGTTCGTGGCGGCGTTGGCGTAGCAGTACATGGACGTCTGTGGGTCCTTGATGCAGCCGACCGTGTATATGGGCGCGTAGGCCGTCATGGCCTGGTAGGCACTCGTGACCACGGGCTGGCCGGCCGTGTAGTCGGCGCCGCAGTTTTCTGGTTTCGTGAGGTTGCGCGCCAGCGTGTTGAGGTAGTCGGTGCAATACGTAAGATTGGCGGCACAGGTCGCATCCAAGACCTGCGTGGTGCTGACGAGCGAGCGCTCGGCATTGAAGAAGGACCGGGACCCGAGGATCAGAAAAGACAGAGGATAGCACTGCTTGAAGCGCTGATCGGTGAGGAACGAGTTGATGAAGATGGGACAGGGCACGGAGCCGTCGCTGACGGCCGTGAAGTTGGACGACAGGTTGCTGTCGAACGGGCTCGGCAGCGGGCTGGCCGGGACGGTGGACGTCGTGCTGGCCTCGGTGACGGTCGATACGGCGATCTGGAAAGTGGTGGTGACCGAGAGCGAGAGCGGCGCATCGTCGTCTCGTTTCCTCAGCTCGCGCATCCGCACCTCGTCCTCGGAAAGCAACATCCAGGTCCCATCGTCGTGGTATCGCACGCGCGGGTCGATGATCAGCGTCTCGGCCGGTCGGGCGGTGTCTGCCGTGGCGGCCAACACGTGCAATGCCGAGGCGACGACGACGAGCAGCGAGGCGGCCTTGGCCATCATGATTCAGCTGCGAGACAGCAGGGCAGCCGGTGCAACATAGTCTGGGGTTGAACGAGCGACTGATGTTTCTTGGAGACAGCGAAACAAGCAGCACGGCAGCGCGGGGTCGGCTTTTGTTTCGTGGATCCCAACAGTCGAGCCGGGCTGGTTTGCAGACACGGCAATCTGGGCTGACGGCTAAATCTGGCGGTGCCGTGGAACAGGCACTTGGCTGGCCCAATCAGTGGCAGATGGAAATTTGCGTGATAATGCCGTGCGGTGCGGGCGCTGGTTGTCGCTGGTTGTTTAGGGCACAGCTGTCGTTCTGACTGTGCAGCGAAATGAACAGCGGCCGGTCCTGATCTTGAAGTTGACGGGCCCGTCCAGACCTGGCAGGGACCACACGGGGCAGTCAGGGGCGCGATCGGGTGCTAATCCGATTGTGCATCTGTGCCTGCCAAGACGTCCAGGGTCGCTTGCCTGTCGTGCATCTATTGAACGCCGTTCCATTTGCAGCCGCCTCAGTCTCTTGGCGCTGGGTGTGCTGCATCTGCTGGTTGCAATCAAACTATTGGCCGGCCACAGCTCAACCGCCGATGTCCGACCTTGGGGGCATCCAATTTGGCTTGCTCTCGAAATCAAGCTGTCCAAGCGAACCATGCAGGTACAGATTGATTCTTGTCGAGTATGCATTCCGAGTCTGCCGAGTCCGCTGGAAAGAAAACAAGTCTCTCGCCCAAAGTAGCATCGAGGGGCAACCCAGCAGAACAAAGTCGGCATAAGCGAAATCATCCTCACCGCCCTATCTGATGGCTTGCAGCAAGCCCGATCGGTTAGTAAACTTGGCGCCCTGGCAAGCCGTAACCGTTACGTTCTCTACCCCACGACCGCCAGGCCATCGAACTAGCGACGTCTCTGTTGGTGGTGGCTTGCTCTTCAGGACACCTCCGATGTTCTGCTTCGTCGTCGTCCATTTTTAGCCACAGTGAAAATGCCCCAAAAACCGGATACTCATAAAGGACGGAAATGAACTGACGCGGCTTCCAGAACAAAAGTCGCATGAAAATGCACCCAGAAGGAAGCAGCCGGATCGTCGCGCGGCGGGGCCGTGGGTCTGCCCTGCGTGCCTGCCAGGAACAGACGGGCTAGCCACGAGGAGGGGCCTTGGTGCGGTGGGACCGCGGCGGGCTGGCGGGCGCAAACGCCACCGAATTGATTGCACACCCACCCTTTGGAAAAGAGCGCGGGGATTAATTCTCCAATAAGATTCTGGTTGAGTGATTGTTGGTCGACATCATTTCTGTTTATCGATTCCTGCGTGTACGGATACAAAAAATCCGGAGATACCACGGTGTGAGAAAGGATAGATTCCCGAAATGCCTAGCTGACGAAGCATTGTCATGATTGGATGTCGACTTGCCAACGTTGATCAACGTCATGACCGGTCAATCTCCGGGATGACATTCACTTCACAGAAGCAGCAGCAAAGAAAAGAAAAACATCGCAACATCGCAGCGGGACGGAAATTCTTTTCAACAAGCCAAGATAAACGCGATCCAAGGAACGTCGTGAGAGCAATGTTGGCCAAGTCTCCCGTCAGCATCTCATCTTCCTTCGGAAATATCATTTCCTCGAGCATCCAACTATCCTTCGTTACGACTCTTTCGAAATAACTAAATGCCTGGTCGGTGCTGTTTCCTATCCTTTTACGAATCTTTCTGGCGTGCATTATGCATCTAACCGACCACATCGTGTATCTTCACACGCGCTTGCGTACAATATCAAGCAGTATATACATACGCGGTAGTTACTCCATGTAGTCACTCGCGACATCGGCATCCGCCTTTGTGTTTTGGCTGAAGGTTTTGAAATGTCCCTCTAAAACTTAGTGGTACTTACCATACCTATGCAACCCGAACCCTGAAGACAGAGTTCCTGAACATGGCTGATACAAGAGAGGTGCGTACACACGAGAGGCGTGGGAGGGGGTCCATCGTGATTGGTTGTTTTCCCCAGGAGACCCGAGATGCTTTATCGTCTTGCCGGGTCCCTTGTGATTGGCTGCTCCGAGGCTGCCTTCCTAAATGCCTGAGTTGGCCCCTTCTTCGATCGTGACGCCCAACAAATCGGCAGCGAATTCTGACAGGCAGCAGCAAATGGTCAGGCTGCCCAACTCCGCCCAGCCCAACCCAGTCTTCCCCAAGTTGTTGCAATTCGGATATGCGGTCAGACCTCAGGCTCACTCATTCTTGAACTTTAATTTGATCTCGCTTGCCTCTTGTAGATCAAAGTTTCATTCTGGAGATATCTGGAGATACCGCGGGGTTCGACCTGAGATATCCCCACTCTCGGTTCGTTCCTCATCATCACTATCGCGGCCTTGTTCCGATATGGCCGACCCAATCACCATTCTTGGGGCGGCGAGCGCAGTGCTTGCCATCATTGACGTCCTCGCCAAAACCATTCGTTCCGTGTCCGAGCTCCGAAGCAAGTGGAACCTGGCTGATCTGACTGTCTCTACCTTTGAGATGCAGCTCACAGGTCTCAACTTTGCTCTAACGGAGATCAAGAGATGGGCAGACCGCAACTCCGAGGATCCGCATTACCAGCTGGCCATGGATATTGATCGTTGTCTATCTCACTGCCGACTTCTGATCGCAGTCATCGACGGGGAGATAGCGAATTTGCGGACGAGTGAGGGTTCTCCGCTCGACGTTGCGGCTAGGATCCGCATTCTCTTCAAGACGCAGGGCATGAGTGAAGCTCAAGAGATGATTAAGCATGTAACAAACACCTTGGG